TTATTTTCAATAAGCAATCCTGAAAAATATTTGGGGGTGCTTAACTTTTTTCCAGGTGTATAGTTCCTTACAAGTTTTATACAAGATGCATAAATGATTTTACTAGAAATACGAAATACAACTAAATTTAGAATTATGGGAAAATGATTTGTTTCCAAGTAAGTTCTAAGGTTTCTATAATATATATTTATCACATTAGATATAATCATTCTTATATATACAGCATGTCGGTTCTCGTGTGGAAAAATACCTTCTTCTGAACTTTTAATATGCTATTTTTCTGAATTACGATTATATAAAGAATGACTTGTTTATTAAAAAAATGTAAAGCACTCTTTGAAAATTTAGCCATCCTTTGTAACAATTTTAACTGCCGGCATAACAAGAAATAGAACTTTTCATTTCACATTCAGTATGAATAAAGCTACTATTTTTGTAGTTTTGGTTAAGATAACAGCAATATTTAAGATCGATACAGTGTTAGTTTCGCTAATCTCAGTAGTAAGATTTCTGACCTTTTACCAACAACAATTAAATATTCTATAGAAAATCAAAGCAGTTAAACTGGGATATAATAAAAGAAACAAATACATTTTAATTCCATTTATCTGTTTTGATTTTATTATTGTTTGTTCAACAAAAGTTTCTATTTATTAAAAGAAAAGAAAAACAAATAATGTAAAATATAGATAACCAAAAGTTATAAAGCCTATCCAAGTGGAAATATATATATATAGTATTATTATTATTATTATTAATTCTTGAAACTTTGTACATTATTTCCATTTCATAAGCTTATTACCAAATCATTAAAATTGTTCGGAATTAAATAATAATGAAAATCTTTTTTTTTGGCTTTCTTTATAGGAACCAAATATTTAAATAATTAGGTTCTAGTTAAATAAACATCGCTTATAATCTGTACATAATATTCTTATTTTTGTTTTAAAAATAGTAATAATTTATAAACAAACAAGTGTCTCAAAGGGAAAGCACTTAATGAAATATACCTATTAAAATAAATTCATGTTATTATTTACTTAAAGTAATTTTTTATAATCTTAATCTGCTAAGAAGCTGTTGGATAGGTACTGCTCAAATCAAAATTTCATACTGTAATACTTGGCTGAAGAAAATTAAAAACATTTAAACACTTATATATCTATACACCTTTTCAAGTAATAAATCTTATAGAACATAAATGTTTGTTTATTTACCATACCTTGCACATTTTGTTTCCCATTTAAATGATTATCTATTTGTAAGTCTAAATAACTTATATTTCTAAATTTCCGCATCTTTAAATATTTTCATTTCATATTTTTCACTGCTTATTTTTGTGTATATAAAATAAGAGTATCTTCAACATTTTCAACTTAAGATATCCA